TAACATTTTAGGACCTAGTTTATCATATATTTAGCTTAATTCATCCACTCATCTATTGTCCAGTTGGGGGTTATAGGGTATCCTATCCCAGTTGTCGTAGGTTTCCATCATCTTGCTAAAATAAGCAAAGCCTTTTCCTGAAAAAAAGATGTCTGGATAGCATTAATGGTGTTTTCACAGTAGTTCAAGGTTTCCGTGTGCACTCATGCACCACCATGAATGGTTCAGGAGTTAATCATCCACCAATTGAAAGATCACTCTCTGGCTCCTCCAGTCTGCATGTTGCATGTCCTTGGGCAAAATACTGAACACTAAATTCAGTATTTTGCTGATACTGTGCGATCAAACATCAAGAGTTTGTGAGTCTGGTATAATAGTTAGAAAGCTCTTAAAGGCATAGAATAAACCTCTGCTTGAATGAGTGTGTGAAGGTGTGACTGTGGCGTGTTGGTGACTTTTGAAATGAGCACTGATAATAGGCTCTCTTCTTTCTACTTGAGGCATCCATAATTTTATGAAAATAAGTTCAGATTGGCTGTCAGGACCTTGTATTGTCTATGAAAGTTTATGAGCCAGTGTGGGAATTGTTTTTCAATCTTCTAGTCTTCATAGTTATTTATTTGAAGTGAATTGCTAGCACATTAAATAAGCATTTATACAAAACAAAGCAACTGGAAAAACTCTCTAAAATTACATGATTCTGTTTTTGCGTCCTACATTTATAGTAATGTGCAAAAGGACACAACTTTCAGATACTGTTTACCTAGGCCAGTCACTTCACATACAAAAAAACCCAATAGCTCTTTGGGAATTGTTATCATGAATTCAATATGCCTGTCAGAAAGTATGTTTTGGTTTTTTGTTTTTTGTCTGCTGTTACAATAGTTAAAATTGTGTTTTTGCTTAGTTGTCTTATCTGTTTTGTGTCAACACTGGTTCATCCCTTGAGTAAAGTGCCATTTTTATGCCTGAGTGATTCATAGGTCAGTGCTGTTAAGTGGCTTAGCAAAGAAAAGAGAAAACCATTCCTTTAAAAATGATCAAGTACAAAGGCTGGAAAATCGGTGCAAAAGCAATGTCCAAAAAAATACTTTGAAAGACCTTCAGAAAGCCTAAAGACAACAAAACAACAAAGTCTGGCTGTTTAGAAGCAAAATATTAAGAAACGCTGACTTTTACACGCAACTTTTGGTACTGTGTGAACATTACTTCCATTTTTTTTTTCATACCTGTTTAGGACAAAAAGGAATCGGCTACGATTTATTCAACAAACACCGCTGCGCCTAATGAAGGCTACTAGACAATGGTTTTAAATAAAAGGAACAGCACTTTGCTATCAAATAGCTATCGAGTATTTGTTCTGCCCTTGTATGCATTTGCTCAATAAATGAACTCTGCCACTTTATATTGTCCAGGGAAATATCCAGAGCCGAGGTTGAATTTGAGTTATTTCTGGTAACTAAGCAAAACTCAGACGAACTAATAAATCTGTTTCACTTCATAAGCTCCTTGTGGTCAGTTTAGCACTAAATTCAAATTATTGACAAGACAATGTCCTTACATGAGCTAATTGCTGCTGTAGTTAACATTTTTAATTGAGTGAAAAGCCATTTGACCCTGCAATCAGCCCGACAATCTTGGAGGCAAAATGAAAACCGCGGCACGGGGAGGAGGAGGGTTTGCAGTTCTCCTAAGAAACAATTATTGCCGTACAACACCACTGCCAAATTCACTCTCTCAGTCACATGGTGTTTGTCTCTGGAATGCTTTTCAGCGCTTTTTAATTCCCAGCTCTTTTTTGTATTCCAATACTGTCCTCACAAAGGGGCCATGTGATTGCCTCTTGATTAATTTAGCTGAGTGCATTCATATTGGATCTTTAAATGCTTATCAGCGTTAGTGGGATTACATGCTTCATTATGTATGTAATACTTGTTTTTTTCCAGTGTGATTGGAAATGTATGTTTATCGCAGACTCTGGTTCATCTTAGGGTTGTGCGTTTTCCCCCCAAAAGGCTTTATTTCTCGTCTTTTAATTTTTGAGGTTGTCCTTGCTCTGTTGCTAAGGTAACGTGAAGAATACTGGAAGCTCTACTGGGCTTTCAGATATCAATTAAATCCAAGGACATCACAACACTGTACGCATATCGGCACAGATGGCGGTCATATAAATGTGCCGCGTGCGCGCGTATGCATTGCATTTATGCGCATTCCTTCCAGTGTGAACGCGTTTGTGCGAACGGGCTGCACATGTGGATAAATGCGTGCGTCTTTGTGTGCTCGTTCCCAGACGTATTCCACTTAGAAATAAAGCGGGCTTCCTCTCTCACCCCTGCGCTGTCACTCAAAACTCTAATTGGCCTGGAGTCTCTTGAACACGGCTCTTTGAGCATGATTGTACTCTTGTTTTCTTCTCTGTTCTGTTTTCTCTCCGCCCTTTGGCTCTGCAGGCTGGCTGGCAGGCAGAAAGGCACCGGCTCACCTATTGTACAGGCCCAGGGAACACAGCTATGGGCTAAATCAGTGCAGAATGTAAAACACAGATGGCCATTGACTCACAAATGGGTTCATGGAAAATGAGAGAGTCTCCTGTGTCAAACTCTGCTGAGTCTACCATGGAGCACCAGGCTTTTTGCTTTTCATTCCTCTGGATCATCTGTCAGTCCGGCCATCCTTCACACTCCCAGCCTCCTCTCTTTTTTCTTTTTCCTCCTTTCTACACTCTACTTTCTCACATGCTTTCATAACACACACACACACACACACACACACACACACACTCCTCTCTCTCTCTCTTCTTTTCTTCTCCATCCTTCACTCTTACGACATCCTGGCCTCCCTCTCTCTTTTGTCGCCTCAGGCTTATAGTCGGGGTTAATTAGCATTGAGTTGAGCTGTGTTTAATGGTTAATGTGGTTTCTTCCTGTAATACCACACCCTCCCCTCTCTGCAGTTTCTACACCTATCCTTTGCAGGCTGCCAAGCAATCGTATTAAGAGAGGCGGCCTCGCCTTTCTGCGTACATACCTACCTGCTTTCTTTGGGTGTCTGTCACTTCGCCTACCTACACGGGATACAGACCATATGCCCAAATCAGCATGTACACATCCCTCAATTTCTCTTTCTCTCAGGGATGCCGCGTGATGAGTGGGAAGGAGCGGTGAAAAGACACCGAAAAGGCAAGAGTGAGCTAGCACCATATAATAAGAAACAGGTGAGAGAAGGGCGATGGGAGAGACGAGAGCTACAATATGCGGGGAGAAGAAGTGAGAAAGACAACGCGATAGTTCTGACAGGGCCTGCGTGAGCTTGAACGTGGGGGAGAGATGAGACGGGATAGAAAGGAGGAGCGAGAAGGCACAAGCCGGGAGAAATGCTGCCAGTACCTGCTGCTCTGCTTTCTTTGGGTGGAGGAAAGAGGGGGCTTCCATTGCTATGCCGCACCACACGGCAGCCAGAGAGCAGGCTGAAGTGGAGGGGAGTGGATGTGAAATTTTAATCACCTCCCTGTGTTTGTAATTTTAGTAGCCCCCTCAATCAAAATCAAATCCATTGCCAGCACTTTCAAGAGCAATCCGCTGGCAGTCTACTGCATAGCCCGCTGTTGAAGTAGTGCGTTTAAATAAGAAAGGTGTCTTGCAGCAAGACTGCAATGCAAAACAGAGAAGTGTATGCATGCACTCGTTCATAGTTCTCTGTCAAAACTGGCAACAGCTACAATATTATAGGTTTTGGATACTATTGGCCCTGGATAGCAGTAAGTGTTGGTCCTCTTGTGCTTTTACAGTATGATATCTGTCTTTCTTATGGTCTAGTTTATTCTTTTTTTATTTCAGATGCCCATACAGAAAGAATAAAACACTGCAAGACTTCCCAGCATACAGCAAAAGTCAGTCAACAAGAAAACTAACAGGACACTTGAAGGGGCATACTTTTAATTTCCCTCAGAAGTGCACTTATAGTTTAACTCTTCATTGCCATTACACGTAGTACAATGAAAGTGTGGTACTGTCCCACATCGGCGCTTAAAGAAAGCCTAGCAAATCACAATAAATAATAAGATATACAGAGAATAACATATGTTCAATATGTGCAGAGACATTTGGTGGTGTTGATGTTGGCTGGTCTACCGCTTGTGTGGAAATATTCTTATGCTGGTTTGGTGCATTTGCAGCGCTCAGAGCTTGCATGCATTCTTGACATCTGTAATTTTGATTAACGTGCTTATCAGGCGTTAAAGCAAATAATCTAAATAGAAAACTTAAAGTTATCCTCTAAGCTTCCTGTTATAATTCAGGGGCCAAATTTCCGCACATGTAAAGAGACGACATCACAAGGTGTTCATCTTCTAGCTGCTTATTTCGAGTCCATGTTTTTGATCCCTTTGTGTTTCTCAGTTTTCTCCTCACAGAATTGATTTGCACAAATTAACACCACCTTTCTCTCAGTCATCATTTTTTTGTGTGTGTGTTTAGATACAGATTTTTTTTGTTGTTGAGGAAAAATGAGCCATTTAGTGTTTAACTTTAACGCAAGCGATACGTTTCTCTGAGCTGTACAATGTGAACATATGTTGAGAACATATGTTTAATTCATACATAACAGTGTGTGTAATTCAAGATTAAATATTTTACTTTGTGCTGAGCTCCCAGCTGTAGATTTCATGACTGTCTTTTTAAACATTTTTCTGGAGTTATAGTGTAAAAAAATCACTTATTAGCCATTGATCACTGATGCAGAAGGGAAAATGTCACAAAGCAGCCTGTAAAGATTCAGTTAAGAAGTGAAAGTGGCATGATCCCACCAGGTCAAAACGGAAAACACTGACACATAACAGTATTTTACCTGCATAGATCAAACGATTTGACCAAAAAGAGGAAGCGGTAGTCCATAAACGTCATAATCAGGGTTTATTAATGGTTATAAATGGTGACTCTGTAAAAAGATTTTAAAATAAGGAGTTCTTATTTTTTTTATTATTATGTTTGTATCTTATACAGACAGGATATGTGAAGCTGTCCAAGCCAGTGGCCCTGTGGACCCAACAGGACGTGTGCAAATGGCTGAAGAAACACTGTCCCAATCAGCACCAGATCTACAGCGATTCGTTCAAACAGCACGACATCACAGGTAGTTTTTGGCACCTGTACAGTGGCTTCATTTGAGGAGGTTTATGTCTTATTATCCACGGGTTTCTAGTAGCTCGTTGCTCTTTTAAAACCTGGTTGATTTTTTTTTTCCATTCACATTCATGATCAATAGGATAAGACGAAATGGATGTATAGATACTGAACTGCTATATCCGCTATATGGACAGTTTAGTAGAACTCATAGTGGCGGCTTTTAACGTAACGTAACATTACAAACATGTTTCCATTTGATATCAGTAATTAAATAAGTGCACTTCTGAGATACTCACTTCCTGAGAGCTCTGTGCAATCACAGAGGTTAAGCTAACTGTAGAATTTAAAGATTTAGCATTTCCTGCCTGGTAAACTCCAATTTTTTATTACCGGCTTATTTAGAAAAGGTGCGACATGCATGTGTGAAGAGTTTAAATATATTTGCAGCCACCTTTGTCAGACCTCTGCTAACTAATTAAAGAAAGTAAGAAAAAACAAAGCAAATCTGTTTTGCTCCTGAAAAAGTGCTAAAGTGCAAGTAACATGATATGCAGCAAATATCACAACGTTAAATCACTGAAAATCTCTCTTTAAATGAGGTTTGGAGTCAAGTTCATGAAACTGGTACATTTATCACATCTGCTCTTGACAAAACCAGATCTCATTCATAACATCCCAGGTGCTCTCTGCACCCACTGTCTGCCACCTGCCACCCGGCCTACATCCCTCGCTTCCCACTTTCAGCGTTCCCGCCGAAAACAGCCGGCCATGTCAATCATCTTCCTAACGAGGCTACTCAAGGTCACTCTGACCTAACGACACTCCAGCCCGCGTGGCAACAGACGAGCGCTAATTGCCGCATTCTCTACCTCTCAGAGCACGAATGATCGCATTAATATGTTTATTTGTTGCTGTCGAGGACCTCCTCGACTCAGTGACTGGCTGGCAGGATAAATCACTTGGTGGTCATGATGAGTGGTGTAATGACTCACGCTCCCATTTCACCCGTTGATGCATTTGTTCTGTTATACGTCTGCATAGAGGATTTTGAGATTTAGCATCTCCTGTTTAATGGCCTGAAAATATGAATCTCGCCGCTTTGCAGCTCAAGTTGCAGATATATCTCATCACCAGCATAGAGGTCTGAGAGATCCACAGTTCATTGCACGCTTGCTGAACCACTGCTGCGTTTTTGTTTTTTGTTTTTAAATCCGTTTTCAAGCGAAGGCATTTCAGCAGATTTTATTTTGTTTTCTTTTCACTCAAGGTAAAAGCTAAAAGTGATGTATTGACGAGTCACTTGTGAAACATTAGCTTCTGGTTTCTGTGGACTGATTCGGAGCTCGTGTGCTAAATAAAATATTTGCCGATTCAGATGACTTACAAGGCAAATATAAAAGGACGATTTAAAGGGCCTGCCTCTGAAAACACTCTTAATCACGCAGTTAGAGCGCTTATCCATCCACTCATTTGAAATTTCTCATGAGGTCCATATCTGAATACGGAAAAATTAATCTAACTTTAAGATTAAACACCTCTGTGTGCCTAACAATTCTAGTGCATCCAGTTAGTCTGTAAATTAATTACACTTTTAGTCTCCCAGTTAATAAAACCCTGGAACCTAGCTTCCTAATAGTGTATTAACTTAATGACCTGTGATTGTTATTAAGGTGTAATAATGTTTGCGGGCTCTAACAGGTGTGGAAAGGGTTAACCAAATGAAAACTCATGCTCATATTGTACACACACGCACACACATACACATTCACGCTGGCACAATTAGGAGATAATGACATGCACAAAACCTGCAAGTAATTCAGTTTGTCTTCACATTGAGCATTAATTAACAGAGCCCAATTAAAACAGGCCAAGCCACACCAATTGGGCTCACGAGGCAATTTGCATCCCAATCAATCTTTGAAATATTATGCAGATATTTTTCTGTTCCTACACTCTATTAGAATAAACAAGGGGGAAACAAATGATGGAATATTGTTGTGGAAAACAATCATGCGTAGACAAACAAACAGTGAGTATGAATACATTTATAAGAGCATGCAGGCGTGCGTCTGAGAATATCTATTTGTTCAGTGTGCTTGTCAGCCATGAGCTGTGACCCTTGAAAATCAGAACCATGCGTGCATGTGTGTGTGCATGTGTGTGTGCATGTGCGTGCACGTGTGTATGCATGAATAGATTTTTGGCTTTTTAGCATCGGAGTCTCCAGACCGTAGCAATTCTTGACTGTATTTTCTGACAGAAAAGTCAGCCCTCTTTTTGGCTGCCAGCGGTACTCAATCTCACTTGTCTTGGCAACGTAGTCGTCCCTTCATAAAGTAGCAAATCAATAAACGGTCTCTATTTCAGATCATAATTCAAACAGGCATTTGTGTCCTCCCGCTCCTGACATAAAACAGCGGCGAGGGAAATGCATTTTACTGCGGATCAGGACTGGTGCAACATTTTAACGTTGAGCGACTTCAGTATGCAGCAGCTGGCTTCCTTCTAGGCTCCTCTAACCTCTGCCAAAGAAATCAATGTTTCCTATCCTCCCTCCAGCCTCTGCTGCCAAGAAACCCTTTCCCTTCCTCAATCTTCACCTCCCACCCCCAACAGAGACGACAGCGAATTTGACTTTAACACTCAGCTGCCATTAAAAATGCATTAAAGCATATTAAGGCATAATTAGATATTAGTCCCTAATCCGTTGTAATTACAAAGACAAAGCTCTTTTGGTTGAGAGAATAGCTTGGCATGGTAAATTAGTTAAACACACCGTTTCCGATACTTTAGATGTAATCAGCATAAAAGGTGCGATGACATAGGTAATCAGAAGTAAAGAGGATGAAGGAGGAAAAATGGGCGAGTCGCTATTAACTTATATTTTCTGTCAGAGGAGACCATTACATCACAGTGTGGAAATTCAGAGTGTCTCTAAGGGTGTACAGTGACTGAATTAGAAGCAGCTGTGGAGGCTGGCTGCAGGGGCTGGTTTTAGAAAACTGTCGAAGATGGGGGTCCAGATTTGAGTGCAGTGTTTTGTTTTGTTTTTAGGATGAACCACATTTATACAACAGTTTTCAAGTTAGGATTGGATGAGATGGTAAAAACTTCCAACCGGTTGCTGTCACACTAGCATATGCCAGGGTATTTGTGGTGGTGTTTGTGTGCCTCAGGGTTACTCACAGGGTGCTTTTTAAAAAAAAAAAAAAAGTTACCATCTGTTTATATTTATAGTTTCATAGTTTTAAAAAATGTGAATGTGTCTTGCAGTGAAAAGCACTTTGAATCGTCATCAGGACAAAAAAAAAACACTATATAAATGTAACTCATAACCTAAAGAGCATTTGTTTCATGAATGCAGTGATTTCTACAGACTGCTTCCAGGTGATAGATGAGAATGCAAACAGCAAATGAGTCAAAGGGACTAACATGGCTCCAAATCAAGTGGCGAGCCACATAAAAGATCCATCGGTGGTTGTTGTTTGAGTGATTGAGTTGTGCAGTGAGCTGATGAGCTCTTAGGGGGACAATCTGATCCACAGGCAGAAGGAATCATGGTTAATGAAACCATTAGCAAGGCGATTACATGTCAGTGTGTTACATGTTATTAATTACTGTCCTGCCAATTGCATGTTTAGAAAATGGCGTTCTTAATTTTCTTCATATAGAGAATTAAAAATTAATCTGTAGAGACCGTGAATGACTTGTCATTAAATAGTGATATAATAATAAACTGAAAAGAGATATCCGTTTATTGATGAAAAGAGGAAAAAAAATAATGTCTCGGCCCAAAAGAGAAGCGCAGATATCCAAGTGATTGCAGCTCGTGTACCAGTGAGGCTTTTGTAACGATTTTGAGAAAATAGGACATTTATTCAAAGGCAACTTATCTCATTGCCACTATGTGTTCATATGATTACAGTCTCAAGCACAGTAATTGTGTCACACTGTTCTGCTTATGTCTCCCAAGTATTTTACTAGTGTGATTCAGCAATGGAAGCAAAGCCTGTAAGCAGGCAGTGCCTTAGAGAAGCCTGAAGGCATGTGCATGCTTTTTTTCATTTTTTTAAAAAAATGTTCTTATTTTATTTTATTTTATTTATTTATTTATTTATTTTTTTTGCCTGTCCCGTTTGGCTCTTTTGCCATCAGAATTGTTGTCTAAAGGCAAAGAAAGATGCCCAACGGATTTACTTTACCAAACTGACCATCCCAGCCTTGCCGTAATGGTCCATTTGATTCACCTTTTATTGTTTATTTTATTTTCACTTACTGAATACGGGACAGACTTGACTGGGGGAAAGAAGGGGAGAAAGAAAGAGGGAAAGAGAAACGGCTGAGAAGAGGGACGGGGGAGAAGGGCAAAAGACAAAAACCAACAGAACGGGCAGAGAAAAAAAATGCATATATCAATCACCTGGATCACCTGCTGAGAAAGAAAAAAGAAAGCAAGCAGAAGAGAACAAGAGTAATAGAATAAACAGTTCTTATTTTATTTTTATTTTTTCTTCAATTTTTGTCTTTTTTTAAATGACATAATTATATACACGAATTAGGAACCCTGGTTCCAAATTGCTTCCACTGCTTTAGCCTACCTGTGAGTTATGCTGAGGAGAAGGCAACGTGATTGGAATTCATATCAATTTACTTCTCTTGAATAATGTTAACTTGGGTTTATAGGGGTGTATACTGAGCTCTCTCCTGTCCTCACTCTACACCTACGCCTGCACGGCCACTAGCATCTACAATTTCATTGTGAAGTTTGCGGATGACACAACAATGGTGGGTGACAGTTTACAAGGAGGATGTCAGTGCCTTTAAACTCCAGTGCTAAGACTACCATCTCACCCTAAATGTTACAAAACCAGAAGAGATGATAGTGGACCTCTGGAGGTGTAGAAGAGCACATCACCATCACCATCAAGAGTGAACAGTGGAAAGAGTGAACAGCTTCCGTTTCCTAGCTGTACATCTGGCAGACCATCTGGTCAGTTCACACAAACA